GACTACAACTCCCATCAGCCCCAGCCACCATGGAACGATGGAAATTGTAGTTCAAAACAGCTTGAGGGCACCATGTTGGCCACCCGCTTGCGTACAGCAATCAATGCAAATAAAAAAGTGAAAAGAACTACAGGAATCTGGAGCCTGCCTTATGTTCCTGCCTCCGTACAGAAGTATTCAAACAAAAACCAAAAACATGTTCCTTTGTTTCATCTTCTACCAGCCACTGCTAGTGGCCTTCCGTATTTGCTCAACTAAAAATATGATATATGGAACAGATAAATTCAAGATGATAGTTGATGGCTACTTACACGCATTTTGGGAATCCACCCTTAACCAATGTGCCCATATGTATTGGCAAACACGACCTGTAGGGACTAGCTGCAGGGGTAGCACCAGCCCCCAATATTTAGTTGCCTAGAGTAGAGCACAAACGGTACACATGTACACACACGCTTATGATTAGGACCAACACTGCTTTTTCAGAAGTCTTGCCACACCTTTCATATACCAGTTCCTGCTTTCAAAGAGGCTGCCTTATATCGAATTAAACTATTGGTGCCATCTACTTCAGTGCTGTCTACACGGACTGGCAGCAGCTCTCTAGGGTCGGACATTTGTTCCCACCCTACCTGGAAAATATGAAGTTTGAACCTGGGACCTTTCACATGCAAATTACATGTACTACTACTGACCTACAACTCTTCCCTATCATCCCTTGCAGCCTGAAGGCAGAATGTGTTGCATGAGAATGGGGGAAACACCTAAGAACTTTCAGTCTCACAATTGAAATGTGCATGCATGAAAATGATAAAACAAGCAACCAGTTTATGTGGTCCTTAAAATGAGAAGACCCACGATCATTCCTTGCTTAATATGTGCATGTTCCTCATTTTGTATTACCAGAAAACAGGCACAGAGAACACACAGAACATGGTGTTCGAGAACCAGGGTACGACTGTACTCTTTATTGTTAAACTCCTTAACATAGTGTCTATCTTTAACATATTCTTCGAGGCTTCAAAGCTCTTAAATTTCAGTAATTCTTGAGTGTCAGTCGGGCGCAAAAAAATGGCACCCAGACTTGTTGAGATGCTCACAAATAGAGAGTCTTTAGGTGCAAAATGCGCCTGGCGCCCTGCTAATTTCGAACCCTGAATCAGACCTCTGATCCATCTAGCTCAGTACTGTCTACACTGACTGGCAGCAGCTCTCCAAGGTTTCAGGCAGGATCCTGTCCCAATCCTACCTGTAGATACCTAGGTTGAACCTGGGCCCTTCCGCATTCAAAGCAGATGCCATAACCACCGACCTACAGCCCATCCCCACAAGCCTGCCTCTTTCATCCACTGCAAGTGATATCCTTAGGGTCAAAATCCCCACCTTGCAACACCCATTTATTTGTTTTGACTCCAACACTAACCAACGATAATAAAGAAAAGGTCTCTTATGTGACAAGTACCTGTCTTTCAAATAAGTTCTAGCTATGAGAGTGAGGGGGTGCAAGTCCCCACCACAGCCACCCCCAGCCTTGCCTACGGCTTGCTGAGTACCTGTAGTTTACTCCTGTGGCCCTGAATGAGAAACCAGATGCAATTAATAATTAAGGAAAGCAGAAACCCTTGGCCTGCTTTTTGCTTGCAGACAATAGCCCGGCCACAGCCAAAAGCGCTAAATTCCATTGCTCTTTAGTGAAAACAAATGCCATGTTTCCTCTCAGAGTAATGAGTCGTCAGTCGGCTCGCCCTGAATGAGCAAAAATGGACTTACAAGGCAATAAACATTGCTTAGCTTCACACCCAGAATCTGCCCCTGTGTGTGAGGGAAAGATGGTTTCATTTTAGAAGAAGCTGGAGAAGAAGAAAAATTCCTCGGAGTAAATTGAGCAAAAGCATCTCTACCCTGGGGGTGAAGTCTGATTAAAATAAGTCTTTTTGACGCAGGACAATTCTCAGCTTTCTACTACATTTAAAGATTCCCTGCTCTGCCAGGCCACAAGAAGATTTGCTCTCTCTTTCACGGCAGACCTATTTTTTTACATTTATATTTCACCTTTCCTCCAAGGGGTTCTAAGTGGTGAATAAAATATAATAATAATAATAATAATAATAATAATAATAATAATAATTTATACCCCGCCCATCTGGCTGGGTTTCCCCAGCCACTCTGGGCAGCTTCCAACAAAATATTAAAATACAATAGTCTGTCAAACATTAAAAGCTTCCCTAAACAGGGCCTGCCTTCAGATACGCCCCCTCCTCATTTCCCCCTCAAAACAACATTGCACAGGAAGGTAGGCTGAGAGACAGTGGACTGGCCCAAGGTTACGCCGTGAGCTTCACATTCGAGTAGCGATTTTGAACCCTTGTCTCCTAGATTTTAGTCCATCACTGTAACCACTACACAAAAACTGACAGTGCCTTGCCTAACCAACATTTTCCAGTGCTTTTCCTTACTCCAAAGTACTCTTCTTTGGAGTAGTCCAGCTTCCGTGTTGATTTATTTTTGTTTAAATGGAGGTTGTTTGGAACTGTATCTGAGAGCAAAGAAAACCAGGAGTCCTCACATGTTATTCTGTGTTTGTTTGTTTATCTTAAACCTTAGAGCAAAAGCTGCAGTCACCAAGGCTGGGGCAAGAAGCATCAGGTCTCTCCACCGTTTTCACCCAAATCCTTTCCAAAATTGGTGAAGGGAAAGGTTAAACTCAAGTAGGTGAAGACAAAGTTTGCAGCCCCCACTCAGAGTTTGGCAAGACATAGCAAAGAAGAGTGGGGAACCTTGGACCTTCAGATGCAGTGAGGCTCCAGCTCCCATCAACCCCAGCCAACATGGCCAGTGGTTGAGGATGATGGGAGCTGTAAAACAACAACATCTGGAGGTGAACACAGGCTCCCCACCCATTGACTAAGAACCTTGAGTGGCATTTCTACCATGGGCAGTGTTGCATAGTGGTTAGACTCTAGCTGTTAATGGTGTCAGACTGATCCTGAGTTTGAATCCCTGCTCAACCATGAAGCTTGTGACATGACTGTGCGATATTTGCTTTCTTCCACCCTAACCAACTTCGCAGGATTGTCACAAGGATAAAAGAGTGGGGAAGAGCCATGTGCCCTGAGCTCCTTGGAAGAAAGGTGGGATAGAAACACGATAAAGACAGCAGTGCAGCACTACAGAAATATAATCCAGATGAAAAAAGTGTTTCAAAGCCACACTAGCGCTAGCAATGACAAGCCTACCACAGGAAAATCCATCTCCCAAATTCTTAGGCACACAGGCCTGATTGCAAGAGTCCAAACACAATTCAGACAGTAAGATTTAGCATCCTCCTCGTAGCCGTGCACCCATCCTACACTGCTAGCTCAGCTTCCCTGTATTTTTAACAACTGCGTAACAGGCAGAAATTCTACAGATGCAGCTTTTGCTGGCACAGATCTGCATTCAATGAGGGAAGCCATACCTGCTGAATGTCTATCGCAAGCCTGTGAAAGGCACCAACAGAAAATAGAAAAGATGGTGGCAACCATAATGTTATTCCACCCGCACAAATGTTCAACAAACCTGTGAGGTATGAAACACAATTACTCTCCTTTTCAGGCCTGGGAAAGTTCGTCCAAGACAAAGGGACTTTTCCAAGGGTACTCAGGAAGTCGATAGCAGAATCACAATATGAGGCAGAAGTTTTTTTCCAGCAGCTTTGTTCAAATGAGAAGCAACACCCCAAAAGGGTACTTCCTCTGAACCATATTCACCAGATTGCAATGAGGACCTGCTCTAAGTTTAGTACATTCAGGATTGCAGTCTTGTGGCCCAGTCCTATGCATGTTTATTGAATTCAATGGGGTTCACTTCTACATCATGGTGTGCTGTGATGGTGGGGAGATCCAGGTTTATATCCTGCTCTGCCTCGCAGTTTACGGGTTGATCACATGCACACACACACACACACACACAGTCTCAGTCCAACCTACCTCACAGGGTTGTTGTGTAGATAAAAAAGTGAAGGAGCCATGTCCATTCCAACTCAACAATTACATAATTTTTTCTTTAAAGAATGGGAATAATAATACAAATCTAATCCAACAAGAAGTCTTAAGAAGATGCAACTGAAGCCAATCCCTGCGGCTGTGTAACCCTAAATATCCTTCTAGAGTTAAGCTTCACTGAAATCAGTGGGGTTTACTTCCGAGTAAACCCGCTTACGGTTATGCTACCAAAATGAAAAATCCGATGCGCACCTCCTTGCTCGCAACTCCCACTGCGTGACATTTACTTCTGAGTAAAGCATGACTAGGATCGGGCCGGAAGCCGATCCCTTTCGCCTGCGCTTGCATCCTTGGGAACGGTGCACCATCCCCGACTCTTACCGCCAAGCCGTTTTTCCTACGAAGCATTTCCTCTGCAGGAAAGGGCCCGGCCTCTCCTAGAGACACCCGGGGAGAAACTTGGATGTTTGGGAAGTTCCCAGAACGAGAGCGAGAGAGCGAGAGATCCTCAGCCTTCTCTCTCTCTCTCTCCTCTATCCCAAGCTAAGATTTCAGGGGCAAAAACTCGAAACATAACAAAAAAAGAAGAAAAGAAGTAGTCATCCTTTTTCTTAAAAAAAAGAAAGATGAAAAAGAACCCAGCCACAGGAAACCCTCCCAGTTTCCAGTCGCTAATTAGTTTTTTTAAGGGTCTGTCTACACACACTGGCAACTTGAACAAAGCGGATGCCTTGAATTCCTTCCCAGCCCCAGCTTGGTTTTGGCAGCGCTCTTGGAGCCCAGAAATCAGCCCAGGAGGAGGAGGAGGAGGCGGAAAAGGGCGATCGGGAGGCAGGGAGGAAGAGCCCCCCGCAACTTCCCCTCCTGCAATGACCCCCAAAGCGCACCCCGATCCCACCCTGACCCAACTCACACATAGCAAACCCACCCCCACAAAAAAAAATAATTCAAAATCCCCTCGCCTACCTCCTTCTTCTCCCCGCCGAATCCGCCACCTTTTTCCTTCCCCTAAGGAACTTAGCCGGGAATCGAAGGATCCAAGTCCGCCAAGGACTTTCTGGAGGAGCGGCGAAGGCGACGGGAGCAGCCGCGCCACCAACCAGCAGCAATTGCAGTTGCCGCAGCTGCAGCCCGGGGTTTCGTCGCCTCAGGCTGCGGCAGCGGAGACCCCCGGGGCCCCCCACTCCGCGATGCGCGGCGGCCCGCTTGGATCCGGCCCGCTCGCAGGGCTGCAGTGCTGGGGCTCCTCCTGACAATGAGAGGCGGGGAGCAGCGGCAGCAGCAGCAGCAGCCCCTGCTGGCGGGCGGCCCTGACGTCAGGAGGAAGGAGAAGGGTGGCGAAGGAGGAGGAGGAGGAGAAAAGGAGGGCCTGGCCGCTCGCCTCGCCTCCGCAGACTTTCCCCCAGCCGCCTTCTCTTGCTTCCCTCGCCCGCCAAAGTAGGGCCTGGCGAAGGGCCGCCTCGCGCGCCGCATTCGAGCCAGGACTGTCCCGCGCCGAAGCGTGGTCGTGAGGAGGGTTGCCCTCCTCCCCGTGTCAGCGCCACGCGCGGACCGCGGCTCCTTAAAAGGCAACGCTTTCCCTCCTCCTCTGAGGAAGGTTTCGCGCGTTCCATTTGCTGCCTTTCCTTTCCTAAGCCCGCCTTTCCCCCCACTCCCTCGGCGTGGCTTCTTTCTTGCTCCTTTCCCTTCCTCGCGCGCTTGTCCTCAGAGCAACCCTGTGAGGTAGGTTAGGGTGAGCGAGACTTAGCAGCAAAGTCACGCAAGCGAGCGGGGGGCAGGGGGAGGTTCAGCTCGGGGCTCCTTACTCCCGGCTCGTCTGGATCTCCAGGTGTGGGTGGTTTTCCCATCATTCCTGACCATGTATTGGCCGGTGCTGTTGGGAGTCCAAAGGAGACCTGGTTCCTCATATGTACCCTGCTCTTCAACCAGCAGTACGGTGTTATCAATCACCACCGTGGCAGGTGGGTGGCATCGCGCTGGCTACACTCACAGCTGCAATATCTGGGACTGTGGCTATTTCAGATCAACCCACTGGGCTTAGAAGAGTAGCAAAAGGTATTTTTTATAAAGAGAGACACCTTTGATTAAACCTTCCCCCCCTTCTTTTCATACATCAGGAAAGCAGATAGCAAATTTCTCCCACCGGTTTTGCAAACCTGTCTCTGGAGAGCCTATATTGACCCATTAATGCCCTAGGATTATGTAAAATGACATTATAATCTTAATGCTATGTTTATTTTTTTTGTGGAGACTGTATTAAATTTGATTAAATAAATAAATAAATAAATGAGAAAAGGTGCAATTGTGAGATACAAGAGGCAGAGGCAGACAGTTCTATGCAAAGCGTCAGTACATACCAGCTAAGCACAGTGAGCTTTGTTGTATTTGTTTACTGGGGGGGGGGGCACACAACTTAATTTGGAACAGAGCCCACAAGAGCCTACCTTATAACCTATTTCTCATGTTGCCACTCTTACCCCAAAGTCGAATTCTCCTACATCTTCCCAACATTTTATACAGTATATGGAAATCATTCATTTGCCACACCTATCCTCCCATCAAGATTGATACCTGAGACCACCAACCCTCTTTCTCCATCCTGCTGTGATTTGTGCTAGCCTGCCTGACACTGGCTTCCGAAACTGGCCATAACTTCTTTTCTTTTAATAACTTTAATAAAATGATAGAACAATTAGTCACAGAAAGGAAAGGAAATCCATATTAGGGCAAAACCTTTATAGGATGGCTGCAGGTCAAAATATACTCAACAATATTCACTGTTTGGATAGGTGATTATGGGGAGGTGGAAGGGAGGCAAGATAAAGCAGGGGTATTTGGGAAGGTACCATAGCTCAGTATCAGAGCACATGGTTTATGTGCAGGAAGTTCGAGGTTCTATCCCTGGCATTTCCAATTAGAAGGATCTCTGCTACCCCAGAGAGCTGCTTCAAGTCATAGTACATAGCATTGAGATAGATGGGACAAACAGTCTCATCAGTTAATTCATGTTACTTCATGTGGACTAGAGGCAAGATGCATGCATTACTTATTTGGAGATTTAACTGCGTAAAGACCCACGAAAAGGGGCTGATTAAAAAAAAAACTCCCCGAAAGACAAAACACTGTTTTGCAAGTGGCAGATAACAGAAAGCAGATGTTGCCCCCATCGAATAGGAGCAATGTGTACATATGGGCCAGATTCACATTTTCTATCGCTTGATTATTCAATCCTTGGGACTAAAATTTAGTACACATAAGAAATTCAGCAGCATTTTGGCAATTGAAAACAACTTTAGCAATTGTTAGCATCTTCCATCTATTGTTTTTGAAATTCAGCTCTTAAGGGACACTTTAAAAAAACAAAAAGCCTGCAACCTTGTGATTATTATTCCTTTTCCTGTTCATAGAAGGAAAGGGGTGGGAATCTTGCATAAGATTGTTGCTCTGACAATATACACTGCCCATGAGAGTACAGCTGCTCAAATGAGTAATTATTTGCAGAAGGGAGCAGCAAATTGATAGTCAGTGCAAGAAGTGAGTTTGCATATTTCTACTCTTCCCTCCACATCCTGATTTTTAGATTGTATGCTCCTTGAGACAGGGTCTTGTCCCTCTTGTAATTTGTAAAGCACCATCTGTATGTCAGTTTTGAGTCCAATGGGACTTACACCCAGGTAAGCAGGTAAGCCCTGGATCTTAAGAATGTATTAATGCATTACACAAGGCAAGAGGTATACATTGGTTCTTAATACATTTCAAGGAGAAGCTTATATCAACCTGTGTGACATAATGGTTGCCACTTTTACACAGGTGTTACACACCATGTTGCACTAGTAACGTTTGGAAGGGTGAGACTGTGCGGGACAGGAGAAGATGTTATGGTTATTTCCATGCCAGTGCTGTCTGTCGCCTGGGAGTTGAGGCACTGGAGTAGAAAGTTACAACTTAATTCATCTATCCCATGTGATCTCCCACGTTCAAGCATGACCTGTTTATTGCATATCTCAATCACACGCAAGCAGCTATCGTGCTATACCACAAATGGTATAAGAATCAGTTCTCAGGATCCTTCCTGTCCTGTTGCAAGTTGATTTTTCTTAGGGTGGCAATAATTGCTGCTGTCATCATGCAGTTTCCTAGACAAGGGATCCAGCCCTGAGGTTTCTCCACTGCCTCTGGGGTCAGATCCTAAGTTGGCTGGCCAAATATCTTCTAATCATTTAGTTCTGGGGTAGCTGAGGGGTAGTCTTTCAGCACCTGCAGGTTCCCCACTCCCTGATTTAGTTAAATAAGTACATGCGGGTCAACTCCTGACGTCCAAGAATCATAGGAAAAAAATCAGTGACAAAATTCTAAATATGTAAAGTGTATCTTAGCTTGTATTTCTTTATTTGTTGATATTTTATTTAAAAAAATCAGTGACACGCATCAATATATTGGAAACACAGGTGAGTACCTGAGACAACACCTAAAGCAGCCCAGGTGACTATATAGACACAAGTAAGCCCCAAGCTAAGATGGGGCCTAATATCAGCATCACAACGTAAAAAAAGGTCTGTCCCCCCCCCCAAAAAAAAGCCTTGTAGGACTGAACCCTATTGAAAATGTTTAGAAACTTTTATCAAAATACAAGTTATACTTTAGTCTTGGATACATGCAGTTCGACAGTAGATCCTTCTTAAATTGGTACAGAATTTGTTATGGACACCACGATGCCATCATTTCCCAAATTAAGAGATACAGCACCAAGCAGACTTCTTACCAGAACTTTCCCTTTCCCTATTATATATATATATATTCCTTTCATTTACCTTCCTTATCTCATTATAAAAGCTCACACCCTTCCACTCATGTACTGTAATAGCAGACATGAGAGGAGGAGGGGTGGGATGCAGAAGATAATACGTTAGGTTTGCAGAGCATTAGAACAATGGCTTTATTCAGCATTGACAGACGAACGTTGCACTTGTCTTGATGCTTTGTAGTAGCTTTAGTTACATGTTAATAGAAGGTTAATAACAGTTAACAGCAAAAAAGGGGGACTAAAATTATGACATAGAGACTTAATTTGACACTTGTCCCCTTCCCAGCCCGGTATCCCCCATAGTACTGACTGCATGAACTAAGAAGGCATGTCAAAGAGGCAGCTGTAATGTTTCTAGAGAATGGGAGGCATTCAATAAAAGCAACGTTCTCCCATATGCAATTGTCCCATAAAATGTCCCAATTTTTATTTTATTTTTAAAAGAACCTATCCAGAAATACAGGTGGGACAGAAAAATGCATTTAAATATTAGCAAATCCAGATCTTTTTGTATGAACTGTCTTGATTTGCTATGTTGAGGTGCATTGTTCCATCCTTTGCTAATTCAGCATTATTATTATTTATTTCTCTACTTCCCATTCTTGTATAAGCCATGCAACCCATTAGGTGTTTTAGACTGCATTCTCAGTCTGATAGAGGAAAAGATGCTTGAAATGAACCTAAATATTAACTGGGGAAAAACACAGCATATACTCCATAAGCTTCAATAATTTCAGTTGCATCCATATTACACTGGGTGGATAAGCAATGCAAGGTAGTTTTCTACTAAACCATGCTTGCAGGGTGGGTGGAGTGTATTATTTTATGAAACCTCTGAGTTCTGAAAATCTCATTGGCAAACCTGTGCAGATAACTTAAGCCATCAAATCCAAATGACTTTAGAGTAGTCCCACTGAAACTTACTTTGATATATATGAACTGAGGACTGCAGCCTTCTTCACTAGGGAGAATTGTTCCTAAGAGTGCAAACTTACCTGGAAGTAAATCCCATTGAAATCTGTGGGATTTACTCCCATGTAATTCAGGATATTATGGTGCAACACATAATCCTTGTGAGGCTTGCCACTGAGTTCGATTGCAGCCCTAGACTCCTAAAACCCATTCGCTTGGAAGGAATTCTCATTGGCGTGTCAGTCACATATAGCTCTAAGTGTGCTGAATCACAGGGTTCTAAATGGCTCATACAGTACTCTAATATCCTGCTCAGATTGCACACACACACACACACTTGCTACCGTCTTATATTCATAGCATAATGCAGTACAAGAAAGCACAACAGAGAAATCACCGGATTTTACAAAAGCCTGTTTTCAACTTGGCAATAGGAAATAAATGGGGGCGGGGTGGGGAAAAAAGCCTCAATAATACCTGGAAGTAGGGTGAAGAAGTCTTGCTTCTAGTCATGCTGGGGCAGGCTGCTGCTGCTGCTTTTGTGAAATGCGGCATTGCACAACGGATCCCAGTATGGAGGCACGGGTGCACTGCTGCAGTGCAAAATCCTGCCAGCAATTACTTGGTTAAATCTCTGCTCTGCTTGCTGATTCCAAAGGCTCAGCATAATTTCTGAGGAAGGGAAAGACAGTCCCTTCTGACTGCTTTGCCAGCTTTTGGAATCCGGATAATCTTCAGAATGGGCAGGTTAGGAATGCACTCACAAAGCTGGGATAGGACAGCTCTTCTTGCCATGAACTCTTCCCAAAGCATTCAGGCTTTATCCGGAATGAGGAAATGTGCTAGCTCTGGCAAACAGGATGCTCTCCACCATTTGAGGAGCAATGCATCATCACACGCTCCCAATACTTGAAAAAGCAAGGAGCATTTCTTGATGACATATACGGTCTTCTGCTTTTTAGAGGATTCCTGGTTTTGAAAAATATAACCATGATCCCATGGCAATTATGAGGAAGTGTGATCAGCATGAGGGCCGCATACAATTCTGGGCAAGATTCCAAGGGCCACATGCTATTGACAGGCAGAGCCAGAGGCGAAAATGAGCAGAACAATGAATGCAAACGCAACCTTTGTACAGTAGGCTACTTTCTGCCCACATTCACACACACACACACACACACACACACCTCTATCTGCCATCAAGCAGGAGGTATTATCCTGATTTAAGGACACATTCCAGCCAGGCAAAAACACTTGGGAGCGCAAAGCAGAGGGGTGTGGCCTGAAGAGCGTTCCAAGGACATGATAGAGAAGTGTGTAGATCCTATGTATGCCACAACAGCAGCAAGAATACTTATTGCAAAGTATTGGAAGACACAAGACCTACCCACTCTGGAAGAATGGCAGATGAAGGTGATGGACTACATGGAATTGGCCGAAATGACTGGCAGAATCCGAGACCAGGGAGAAGAGTCGGTGGAAGAAGACTGGAAGAAATTTAAAGACTATCTACAGAAATATTGTAAAATTAATGAATGTTAGAATGATGTTAGAATGAAGTTAAGTGGTTTAAGCAGCAATGCTATAAAGGCGTATGTAAAAATGGACAGTTAACAGGTGAAAATCCAAAGTTATAGTATATTAAGTTAAAGGACTAAGAGAAAATAAAGAAAAGAAATTGCTGAATTAACTAATTGAATTGGAATACAAAAAGGGGAGGTATGAGGTCAGGGAAGTAAGGAAATGAATGTAAGGCATGGAAGACTGATGTATTTTTAAGTGTTTTTTATTCTTTTTTTCTGTATTTTGTATTTTTCTTGTATTTTTACTTTTGTCTTTTTTTTTCTCCTTTTCTTTACTTATGTAATTCTTCTTTTTGAAATCTTAATAAATATCATTTTTTTAAAAAAGAGAGAAGTGTGTAGATCCGTATCCATCCCCACTGCCCTATGGATTCTATGCTTGTCTCTGGCTCAGTTTAAGGAAAACCTATTGTCGCATGATCTCTGGGACAGATAACATGCCAGTATAAAGCACCTTCATCCATGTTTGTGGCAGCTTGCCATCTATGCATGATGGCACATGGAGACATGTATGCTGGTGTGTGGAATTACCGTAAGTAATGAGGTTTGAAAATAGGGGAACCCAGTATGTTTACTGTTTATCAAAGTCCTTCCCAGCTTCATCAGACTACCCATAATCTCCCCTTCTCAGGATAGCAGAGCCCAGAATGTTAACAGAGAACTACTGGCAGACATTGTTCTCAACCTGCAGAAGATACCATGTGAGCAATTGCAGTTGGGAAAGATAAACCCAAACCTATGGAGGTTGCAATTCTACCTCTACTAGTAAATCCCACTAGATCCAGTCACCTTAAGAGTAATGGAATTGGGCTGGATGGTACAAATCAGTTTGCATTTTATTTCTGCTTAGATAAAATGGTTGTGCGGCATTTATGATGGTTGACATGGACCGGGTAAGGTAAGCAGACAGAAAAGTCAGAGATGTGAAAGTATATAAATAGCCGAATGAAGTTCACATCTAGCAAAGCTCTCAGAAAATGACTCATGTTGGATTGCTGATGTTTTGCAAAGTTGCGGGTCTTCAGCAGTTCTACATTCTCCTTACTTGGTTGCGTTGTTGTTGTTGTTTGCCCTGCCTTTTTCCTTGACAGGACTCAAGGCAGCTTACAGATAAAAACAAGAACCACTAAAAACATAGGAAAAAACCACCATTAAAAACAAACAAACATTAATAGAATGAAAACTATTTACATATATAGTATCTGTTTGAAACGTACAGATAATTACAATAAAAACAGCATGGCACCAGCCCCTTCATTAAAAGCAGTCAATTTTCAAAGCCTGTTGGAGAAGAAGGTCCTCACCTGCTGGTGGAAGGGCAAGGAGGGAGACAGTCAAGCTTCTCCAGGTAGGGAGTTCCAGAATCTGGGAGCAGCCACTGAGAAGGCCCTTTCCCACCAAGTGGGCCTGTGTGGGTGACGGCACTTAGAGAAGTGTCTCCTCTGAAGATCTCGAAACCCCAGCAGGTTCATATGAGGGAATATGATATTTCAGATAACTTGGACCATAGGGCTTTATAGTTCATAACCAGCCCAGAAACAGACTGATGGAGCTCTTCTGACAAGGGAGTCACCAGCTCCCTATAACCAGCCCTGGTCAGCAATCTGGCTGTAGCTCTTTGAGCCAGCTGAAGTTTCCGAGCACTTTTCAAAGGCAAACCCACATAGAGCACGTTACAGTAATCCAAACAGGATGTAACTAAGGCGTGTGTCACTGTGGCCAAATAAGACATCTCAAGGAACAGGCGCCGCTGGCGCACTAGATTTAAGTGTGCAAATGCACTCCTGGCCACTGCAGAAAGCTGGCCATCCAGGTTGCTGCTTCAGTTTTCTGTTCACCACTTAGATATGTTATTAATATATGATGCAGTATAGGAATTAAATAAATAATAAATAAATAAATTACTGACACTGGTTCAGAACCAAGACAGCTTCCTTTGATTTAGGTGGAAAGGAAAAATAGAGCCGGGTGTCATCATCATACTGGTGACACCGAACCCTGAAACTCGGGACAACCTCTCCCAGACCCACCTCTAATTCCCAAGGCGAGAGGAATATAGGCACGTTGTGTAGCTAATTCTTTCACCAGTACAAGCTGCTCAATAAAGGAATCTCCTCACTCACATTTATTCAGCCTTCTGGCGGTTCCCTCACTGCGAGAAGCGAAGTTACAGGGAACCAGGCAGAAGGCCTTCTTGGCAGTGGCACCCGCCCTGTGGAATGCCCTCCTACCAGATGTCAAAGAAATAAACAATTATCTGACTTTTAGAAGACATCTGAAGGCAGCCCTGTTTAGGGAAGCTTTTAATATTTGATGAATTATTGTATTTTAATATTTTGCTGGAAGCCGCCCAGAGTGGCTCGGGAAACCCAGCCAGATGGGCAGGGTATAAATATATTATTATTATTATTATTATTATCTCTCTATAATTATATAATAAAAAAATAAGGGACACGGGTGGCGCTGTGGGTTAAACCACAGAGCCTAGGACTTGCTGATCAGAAGGTCGGCGGTTCAAATCCCCGCAGTGGGGTGAGCTCCCATTGCTCGGTCCCTGCTCCTGCCAACCTAGCAGTTCGAAAGCACGTCAAAGTGCAAGTAGATAAAAAGGTACCGCTCCGGCAGGATGGTAAACGGCATTTCCATGCGCTGCTCTGGTTCACCAGAAGCAGCTTAGTCATGCTGGCCACATGACCCAAAAGCTGTACGTCGGCTCCCTTGGCCAATAAAGCGAGATGAGTGCCGCAACCCCAGAGTCGGTCATGACTGGACCTAATGGTCAGGGGTCCCTTTACCTTTTTATAATTTTAAAACACAGGTGTGTGCATATGCAATTTAAGATGTATGCAATGGCAGACTGGAAAGTGCTTTATGCCAAATCAAAACTGTCCACCGAGCCCCATATCATCCGCCTAGCAGTGACTCTCCAGGGTCTCAGATTGCTTGCTCTTTGCCTGATGGCCATCCTTTTAAACCGGCGATACCTGGAGTTGAACTAGGGTCCGTCTGCATGCAAAGCACATGCTTTACCACCACTGAACTATTGTTCCCCCTGTAGCAAAGCAGGGCCAGCCCTCCTATTATCCATCCTGAACCAGTTGCCTCAGGTGGCAGATTGCATACTGATCAAAGACAGGGGTTCTGTGGCTTCAGAGCCAGCACCTAACATCCTTAGGCAATTGCTGGGCCCCTGCACCCTGACATCACCCACTGATGTAGCCTGCTCTGCCTCCACCCTTTCATGTTTAACCCCAGCCTGGCATTCCAAGCAGTGCCAAGAGCCTGAGATTTTAATTTCCCACAATGCCCTAATACAGCATCGCTCCAGGGTATTATGGGAAATATAAATGGTAGCTAGACCCAGCATCTCAAAACTTGCTCATAGCAAGGTCACTTTCATCCTCCATCAAAGTAAGATCACCAGGTGCCACTGGTCCTACCTAAAAGAGACTCCTGGGAGGCCAGAGGGACATTGCTGGAACAACTCTTGGATTGGGGCAACACACAAAAAATGTTTTAAATGGTTCTAATTTTGGTTCCTCTATTTTGATTTTGTTGGGTTGATGTTGGTTAAATGTTTAGTTGGGGTTGGCGATTATTTTAATTTGGGTTTAACTGTAAACTGTTTATTCTTGTTATTCTTCTTGTTATTGTTATCTACTGATTTATTGGTTTGTTTGTTGCTTGTATGGGATATTTTGTTTTTTAATGTTTGATGCTTTGTTGTGTTTTTATATGTTGTACGCCGCCCAGAGTGGCTGGGGGAAACCCACCATGATAGGCGGGATATAAATTTTTAAAATATTATTTAAAAGAAGGAACCTCACTAGAAAGTAAGTTGTGCAGCCACCCCCCTTTGCCACATGTCCACTTTCAGTGAGAAATCTATATTCATATATGTGGCTGTGTACACACAACATTTTATTTCAGAATTAATGGAAGCTGGAGAATCATTGGAAAAGAATGGAGACTTCTGTTTTCTATGCAATCCACACACAATCTAGAATAGATCCATTGCATATATCTGTTGCCCCTGAAAAGCACTTCTTGAAAAACTGGTTTTATTCAAAAAAATAAAATCTCATTGTAGATTGATTCTGCATTTCCTCACAGTGTGTCCATTTGAAGGGGAGGAAAAAGATGAACACACGCAAAGGCGGTCCCTGTAATGAGAGGAGTTTCCACGCCTGCCCAATGACGTTGTGGATGGACGCGAACCTTGATTATTGCAACCGCCACTTCCTCCTTCTCTCACCTGGAGCACGTGCAGGGAAGAAAAGGCATGCATAATCGAATCAAGGTGCGGGCTTTCAAACACGTACCAAACAAACCACACCCACCTTTCTTTGGGCAGCGGTATCTAGAATCAATCTAGATTAAGAGCAGCACGTTGAGGACGAGCTCGAACAATTCCGGATGGAGGAAAAACTGCATTCTTGTGCTACGGACGTATTAGCGTGCACACAGCTTGTGTTAAGCGTGATACCCCGTTTGACCTTGGATTTGCTTTGTAAGGCAGACATGCCTCGCTGTATCTTTGAAAGATAAATGGCAGAAAAAGGATCTATTAACTGCCTTCAATTTTGTTATCTCTGTTTCTCAGTGGGGCACCCCGGCTTCATGCAGTGGAAGAGCAATTTGGTTGGTTTCATTTTTCTTTTCTATTTTGTCCTTTTCAATCTTGGTAACATTCTTCTCCCACAGCTTGTTGAACAAAGGAAGCCCAGTACTCAAAATGCATGCGTATACCGCCCTCTCCTGACACACGACTATTATTACGTTAACTGACAGTAACTTCTTTTCTCAATGTATTTTGTTTTCTGTTTCACAGAATCATAGAATCATGGAATCACCTAGTTCAACTCCCTCAATGCAGGAATATGCAGCTGTCCCATACCTAAATCAAACCGGATCCGGCCCAATCACCTTCTAAATCTGGCCTGCGGATGGTCCAGGAATCAGTGTGTTTTTACATGAGCAGAATGTGTCCTTTTATTTAAAATGCATCTCTGGGTTATTTGTGGGGCATAGGAATTCGTTCATTTCCTCACCAAAAAATATAGTCTGGCCCCCCACAAGGTCTGAGGGACAGTGGACCAGCACCCTGCTGAAAAAGTTTGCTGACCCCTGGCTAAGAGGGATGGTTGAACCTATCAGTTCTGGTTTCTCAGTTTCTAACTTTCCAATCTTAGGTTCAGTTTTCCATATTTACACATCAGTTTGGAAATCTATTTGCTTAAAGTCCTCATGAAAAATTGTCAGCATTTTACTGCAGATTTCCTCATGCATATATATGTGTGTGTGTGCATCCATTTTTGTCTAACATGCACAATTTTGCAAAGCAATTATCCCCTAATACAATGCATTTCTCTTGGTTTCTCATTTTTCCAGCCTTCAGTTCTCTGCATTTCTATGTCTGTTTGTGATTTTAAAAAAGTTCTCATGAAAATTAATTCACACTTTAGCATAAATTTATCCTGATATACACAATTATGCAAAGCATTTTTCCATAATATAATCAATTTTTGTGTTTTCCCCCAATTATATATGCATTTTACATGCACTTTGTGTATTTTTGTGCACATTAGTTGGCTGAAGAACTGCACTGCAAGATTTGGAAAAGTGTGGATTTCAAAGGGTGGTTGTGTTTGGACATATTTTCTGAAAGTTTGCATTAGGTAAATCCAGCTCTAAATGCAAACTGAACAGAATTTCTCCCTCATCTCTATTGTTGAATAGTTGGAAGAATAAATTTTATCAGGTATGACTCTCTTAAGCCATTTTATTATGCTACACAAGAAATACAGAAATGAAACCAAACTTCAGACACAGAGTATTATTTGTAAGTTTATGAACTAGATCTCATAGCCAGATGGAAATGGTTGCCTCAGAAATAAATTAATTGCTTACTGGGAAGGCCATGGGAGATTCTAAAGGTTTCTAAGAGGTAGGGGAATTTGGGAGTACAAACGGATGACACTGTGTTGAATACAGTGTTGTCTAAACCTCTGCTGGAAACCACATCTGCCAGGGTCCAGGAAGCATCTCTGAAGACACTTCTTCAATGGCATTGGACTCCCTGGAGTCGATCTCGGATCAATATGCCCATCTTTCCCCTTTGCTGACGAGGCTGCAAAGCTACAAGGACATTTTTAAGATGCGCCCCGAAGTGGCAACATTTTGGGAATTGGGAATTTGGGAAATTGCCAATATTACTTGCCAACCATCAACTCCAGGGCTCAAACTGCTGTCACCGGGTACTGATTCTAATCATCTCATGTGAGTAAAGAGCTGCTTTCACTATATTCCTGGCTGCTGCAAGAATGAAAGTCGGTGGATGCTGGAAATTGGTAAAAAGCCCTCCAGGGAGGGGTGGCTAAACAGTGTTTGGGCTATAGCCCTATCTCACTGGTCAGCAAGGTTTACCGCGCCTGGGCCGGTTCACTCCAGCAGAGATCCCTCTGTGGGCTGGATTGCGCATGTGTGTCTGCGTGTGCCCGCGATTTCTGGCATCTGTGCAGACCCAATTTTTGACATCTACGCATGTGCAGATGCAATTTCCGTTGCCATGGAAGCAAGTCCCCGCACCATGCTGCGCACGGGGACTCGCCGAGTGGGTGGCTCAATTTGGGGGCAGCTCGTGGGCTGGTTAAATGACCCCCGTGGGCTGCTTGTGGCCCATGGGCCTTAGGTTGCCTACCCCTTCCCTATCTGAACACCTCACCCCTCACCAGAGAGGGTGATAAAAGGCGACCAATCTGATAAGAGCATGGCATTCATTTCTCTGCTTTATGAATGAAAACAGGGAGGCACGTCCACCACCCAGGTAACCTTCTAGAGGGGCTATTTGAATATGATCTGATTTGGAGGGGTTGATAACGATAGCATACTGCTTTGCAATAGGGCACCTTATCTTCTGTCCGCCATATGCATGCAAACAGCATTGTGACTAGTGTTGTTCGTTCACAAAATTAAGTCAGCAATGAGGTGGAGAAGGCATATATTATGATAAAGGAAAAGGATGGCTTTTGTGGCCTCGACACAGCAAGCTGCACCTGCCAAGATTCCACCTTCTACACACCTGTACAACATACAGCAGCTGTGGGTCATAGGGAAAAGACCATGGCTCAGGAGAACAACACCTGGTTTGTTTGTAAAAGGTTCCAGGTTCCAATCCTTGGTATGAGGAAAGACCTCTGTCTGTGAGACACCCTGGAATGCTCATGCCAGTCAGTGTGCCTGGTGTGCCTGTAATGCTTTCGGGGCAGCAGTGCTTCTAAATGCCAGTAGCGCAGGAGGGGAGAGAGCTCTTGTGCTCATGTTCTGTTCCCTTCTTTCCCACTGGCATCTGGTTGGCCGCTGCAAGAACAGGATGTGAGGCTAGATGGGTTATTGGCCTGATCCATCTGGCTATTCTGGCTTGGTGACATAAATATATTCTTATGAGTTGGGGGCGATTAGGATGTATGCCTGGGCCCCCTTTCTAATTTGTGGAATAGCCAGGCTAGTTTACTGGTGAGCTAATGGGCCATGAAGGAAACAAAGGGATGGCTCTGGCTGGTAGTTAGAAAGATAAAGGTGAGAGTTCAGTTGAGAGCTGAGCCAGAAGCTGGAGGCAAAGTGGCAAGCTGAGAAGCCAGAGAATCAGAGAGGCAAGGTCCTTTTGGAGAGTTAATGTTATGAACCCATCATCATAGGCTCAAGTTGAATATACAGTACAGTGGTACCTCGGGTTAAGTACTTAATTCATTTTGAAGGTCCGTTCTTAACCTGAAACTGTTCTTAACCTGAAGCACCACTTTAGCTAATGGGGCCTCCTGCTGCCGCCATGCCGCCGGAGCCCGATTTCTGTTCTTATCCTGAAGCAAAGTTCTTACCCTGAAGCACTATTTCTGGGTTAGCGGAGTGTGTAACCTGAAGTGTATGTAACCTGAGGTACCACTGTATGTGTAAATAAACCATTTATAGTAGTGATGTATGGAAGTGAGAGCTGGACCATAAAGAAGGCTGATCGCCGAATAATTGATGCTTTTGAATTATGGTGCTGGAGGAGACTCTTGAGAGTCCCATGGACTGCAAGAAGATCAAACCTATCCACTCTTAAGGAAATCAGCCCTGAGTGCTCACTGGAAGGACAGATCCTGAAGCTGAGGCTCCAATACTTGGGCCACCTCATGAGAAGAGAAGACTCCCTGGAAAGACCCTGATGTTGGGAAAGATGGAGGGCACAAGGAGAAGGGGACGACAGAGGACAAGATGGCTGGACAGTGTTCTCGAAGCTACCAGCATGAGTTTGACCAAACTGTGGGAGGCAGTGGAAGACAGGAGTGCCTGGCGTGCTCTGGTCCATGGGGTCACGAAGAGTCCGACACGACTAAACGACTAAACAACAAAACCATTTATCTTAAAAGACACCACTCTGCTGTATCTCATTCCAAAGGAGACATGAAGCCTGGGTAAGCATCTGGAAGTTCTGGAATCTTGCAGTGCTCAGAGATTGGGGTGGGGTACAACAATATTAGTATTTTGATAGATCTTTTGTGCAAATTTTCCCATGGGATTCTGGGAACCCAACACTTTTGCTGAGTATCTCACAAAATCCTGAATGAATAGTGAAAATTGTTCAAAGCTGCGTTGGAGGAAAAGAGAATTTGGGATAGCCAGGAGCAAAGCTTTATACCCATTTCTCACACTGTAATCTTCCTACAACCAACAATGTACAATTTCTTCTCATAATTTGCACAATGAAATAACAAGAACAGCAGCAGCAACAACAACAATAATAATATATAGTTCTTTGCCCAAATGCTCAAAAGCACTTCATATAATTTGCACCGTAACCCTTAGAAAACAAACCCTGAAAATTCAGCCAGTGTTTCATTCCCAAATTACAAAAGTGGGTAGGTGAGAAATCTGAGACAAATAATACAAATTTGTTAATATGTAGTAAAGCAAGAATGAAAAGATTGTGTCGAGCGACACAGTTCATAACAACATTATTTATTTCATCCTGCTTGTTTTGAAATCTTCTTCTGGTTGTGTAGATACATGTATTCAATGCACAGACTAGTAAGTCTTAAAAAGTTATCTTTATCACAGAGAACAAAAGAAAAGACAGTGAAAAGTCACACGCAACAATAGACTGGTTTGTTCCACCACATGTTTGCTTACTAAGATTTAGTGGGCATGCATGCAGCCCCTTTTCTCCTCCCTTTGGAAGAAGAGTGAACAGACAAGGAACCCTGAAAATAACTATGGTTTCCTGTTTCAACTGAACCAGGAAACTATGGCCAATGGCTTCAGAACAAGCCAGGATATCAGGGCTGCTCACGTGGGAATAAGCCCCACTGAAATTAATGAGTATTACTCCTGCATAAGGCTGCACTGTAGGGTATCTTCACAAATTCATACATACTGGTTTGTTCTGAAGTCATTAACCACAGTTTCCTGGTTTGGAAGAAATGGAAGACTTCCATTCCGTTACTGTAACACTTCCTAGTTTGTTCAGCCGGAGAGGAAAATAGAAGGGCTGCATGCAAGTTGCCAAAAAGCGTCATTAAGCCGAGTTATAATCAGCTGAATACAGTCAATGAGACCATCATCATCTACCCCATAGGAAACTATGAGTGCAGGTGGGGTACAGTTTATGTCTTGGCAGCTATGTCAAACCCGGAAGGAGTTTCGGGACTAGGAGCACTTCTTAAACCGAATCATTTTCTGAAAAGCCTGTTTGAAGTCTTCGTTAAAGGCAGTATATATCACGGGGTTGATTAGTGAGTTCAGGTAGCCTAGCCATGTGAAAATGTCAAGCAGAATGGGATGAGACCAGCAAGCTTCGCGACAGATAGGCAGGACTAAAGACACCACAAAGAACGGGAGCCAGCAGAAAATGAACGCTCCTAAAATAATCCCCAGAGTTTTTGTGGCTTTTCTTTCCCGGGCTGCCGAAATCCGTTTCCTGTCCAGGATGCTATCGGCGACTTTGATCCTTACGTGGTTGATTAATACTGGGGAGCTGCTGGAATGAGAATGCCCTTCCTGAAGGTTTGAGCTGAGGGAGCAGAGGGAGGAGCCTGCTGAGCCAGTGATCAGGTGGGCCGTGGTAAATCGCTTCCCGTACAGTGATGGCGGCTTAAGAATCCGGGATCGAGCGGCCACGTAAATCCTACCGTAGAGGATGATGAGCAGCACCGTTGGGATATAGAAGGCGCCGCAGGTGGAGTAAATGGTGTAGGAGATCTGATCCGTATTCACGACGCACTGCAGTATTTCTTCTTGAGCTTTGGCCTGTCTCCAGAAAAGGGGCGGCATGGAGATGCAGATGGAAATGACCCAAACCACAGTGATCATCAAGGCAGCTCTGCTGGCAGTCCGGCGCTTGGTATATTCGAGAGCATCCGTGATGGCCCAGTACCGGTCCAAGGCAATCACGCAAAGGTGCAAGATGGAGGCCGTACAGCAGGTGATGTCTGAGGACAACCAGATGTCGCACATGATTTGGCCAAAGTTCCATTTGTGGCTAATGGTGTTAGCAATGCTGATTGGCATGACCAGGATGGACACTAAAAGGTCTGTGGCGGCCAAAGAGCCAATGAGGTAATTTGCAGGAGTGTGGAGTTTCCTGGTCAGAATGATGGTGATGATCACAAACATATTGAAGAGCATCGTCGCCAGAGTGATCACAGCCAAGATGGCGGCAAGCGAAACCTTCAGGCCTAGCAGCGTCCCCTCATCCCACTCCTCTGGCATTTCACTGGCGTTGAGAGATCTGTTTGACATGCTGAGGAGAATAGACTTTGCAGACCAGTTGTACTGGGTCTTCATGGCTGTGTTGGATTCCTCCCCTCCTCTTTTGAACTTAATCCTTTACATATACTTTATAACGTCTGTCTCGGTCTTTAACGAAACCAGGTTTTCTGAACTAGATCTTCGAGGTTGGTAAAAAAAGCACGCCACTGTGAAACAGAAGCAAAGACAATAACGGAAGCATTAACCAAGCATTAACTACAGTGTGCTTTGTGATGCAGACTTTGGTACTATGGAGCGCAGTGCAAGGCCAAAATCTGGTGGACACCCCCCCCCAAAGGTGCGTAAGAAGGTAGCCAGCTTTGGGAAAGAGTCATGAGGCTCTGACAGGGTCCTACAGCCCTCCTTCCCAAAGCTGGGAAAGTGCTAATTAGGCTTTGGCAAGGAGGTAGGAGGACTCTAGGACCCTGTCAGAACCTCACACTTCCTTCCCAAAGCCCAGAGCCTTGCTTATCTGGCTTTGAGTGTGTACCACTCGCACAGCCCTACATACCTGTGCTATGACTCCAGCAGCTAATCCTCAGGGGCATATTAACACAGGCTATACAATCAACAGTAATAATATAATTTCTACTGCAATTCTAACCATGTTCACTGAAAAGTAAGAGCCAAACTAGACAGTATGTGAAATATGTAATTGCATCTGTCTGTCTGTCTCTCTCTCTCTCTCTCTCTCTCTCTCTCACACACACACACACACACACATATATCAGCTGCTGGAGGCAGAATCAGGACCAGGACCATGGCATGTCTATGTCTCTGTGTTAATACTTCCATGCTGTGCTTAAGTCCAACCAAAAAATGCTCTTATTTGACCCAGGATGAAAGCTGTTATTTGTACAAATAGCAGTTTCCATCCTGGGCCAAACAGCAGCTTTGGGGAAGAGGGGATTTTTGTAAGGACTGCAGTGGTGGGAGTGGGGAAGAATTGATTCTTTACATTCACACATGTCATGCACCTTCTAGTTTGGCCCCAAGGCTTTACTGCGTTCACTGGAACATACTCCCTAAATCTGGAGTAGCCAACATGGCACCTTCAAGTCGGACTTCAACTCTCATCAACCTACGGCAGCATGGCCAATGTCAGGGATGATTATAACTGCAGTCCATCAAGAACTGGAGGGCACAATAGCTAGCTCTGCCCTAGAAAGCGGTTGGATCCAGAATTCAGCAAATGCAACTCCCATGTAGCTCCTGTTTGCAAAAGATAATGCTGCAGAATGTTCCGGAATGCATTTACTGCATGGGAGTTAAGGCAGACACTTCAACATACAATTTCAATGAGTTTCTCTGTAAGCTCCTGAACTCTTAAACCGATTTAAGAAAGCAAACAAACCCAAACCTTGGATATTCTCGTGTTTGTGAGTTGTATTTTCAATTAGCAAAAGCCTCCACTTTGTGCTTAGATTCTCATCCAAGAATGAGAAAGGAAAGTGTCCCATCATCACTGTAGTGATTTACCTACCCAACTGTTCTCAGCAAACCATCGCTCCTCTGCCTTCAGGCATTACAGGTTCCAGAGTTAAACAAGTAGAGCTGCCCAAGGAAGGAGGGAAGGACAGTAACAAAGGCCAATCCAGCAACTGGTGCTGCTCTGGCTGTCAAAAGCAATTGCTACCTTAGCACAGAAAAGTTTGCACTGGCATTTTGCAATGAGTCAAGACAGAAAGTCCAAAAGGAATTGCTGTTCGCTAAAGCATTAAATCGTTTTCGAATATGTTATTTTCCACTGCTAAGCACCATTAAATGGTAAGGCCTTCAGGGGAAAAAATACTTTTTTTACCCCCCTTTCCTTTTCAGTATATAATTGTAGAAACTTGGGCAACTTTCTTGAACCCTTTAGGAAATCTATAGATCTGAAGAAATACTGAACTATATACATAGAAAAATAAATTCAGTTTTAAATGCCAAGGCGCACACACCAAGTCTTTGTGATACCTGAATAGAACAAAAAGAGCTCTTCTAGATCAGAGCAAGGGCCTATCTAGTCTACAGTCCTGTTCTGTTACACACAGTGACTTTCCAGATGCCTCTGAAATGTCCACAAGCAGTACAGGGAGGCAACCCCTCTCTCATAACACTAGAACTTGCTTCAGAACAGAAAGTATTTCCTTAGGTACCTTCCCCTCTATCTCTATCCACTTTCTCCACACCACGTTAAATCTGCAAGGCTTTCTCTCTCCCTCATCATTGTCTGTTCGCTGCAACGATGTCATATTGCCGAGCTGCCATCTACCGCCATGCATGGACGAAGGTCTCTGCAGGTTCTGTGATCTTACCTTCCGCAAACAGTTCATGACCAGGCAGAGGATGCTTTATTATTCTTAACTGCAAAGCCACACAGGGATCCTGGAGCGGAGAAAGACAGAAAGCTGACCCTGCTCATTATTCTGGGACTGGATCTAAAGAAAGAAACAGAGCGTGTTAGCCCAAGAATATATTGTAAGTGGAGCAGTGACAGAATCACAGATAGCAAGAGTTCCTCTGTCCATGACTAAAACCCCTGTGCTATTCATTTATTCTACTTTTATTCAGAAGGCACGGACCATCCCATGGCATTGGGGCCCATCTGCAATTTGGAGGATTATTGCCCAGGCTGTGGCCTAGTCTCTCATGGAGGAGTAGGCTAAAGTCAGCCAGAATGAGCGTTGAGACTCCGAGGCCTAGTCCAAACCTCAAATCCACTGGAATCCCCAACCATAATGCTTTTAAATTGTGTCGCTGTCAGGGCAGCTCTCCAATTACCAAGAATGACCTTGTTTCTGAACGACTCTGGGCACATCACTACACCTTTTGTTGCTAAAAGGTTCTATTATTAAGACATAGAGCCATGTGGTTAATTTAACATTGCCCAGTGAGTCACCCATTAAGCTGGTGACAGGCGAGCAATGAGAGAAGCACATTCTTACCTGGCCTTAGAGACATCAACAAGGTGAACCGTCTGAGGGTGGAAAATGGAGAGATTGGAAACATAAATTTAAAAGCTTCACTATACTAAGGATGGGAACACCCTTAATTCTTCTAGGGGTAAGCTTTCCTTTTTATTTTTTATCTTTAGTAGTTCTCATTGTTCAGGTTTCTAGCCTGTTACATATATAGTTGGTGAAAGTGAACTTTATTTCTCAAGCTTGAGAATGTTTTTGTCTGGCCTTTGTAAGTTGTGATCTTGCAGCCTTAAACTTTTGCTTGCTGATTAATAGATGACATTTTATTGTACTCTATTGTATATTTTGTTGTTTTAATATGCTGTCTACTGTGGGCCTTTCAGCTGCAGAGCAATATATATTAATAAACTGTGATGATGATGATGATGGTGGTGCTCTGGTAATAATAATAATTTGGTATATATTAATAATACCCAATTCCTGCCTTATGGTAGAGTTTCCCACGTAAGAACCCATTTTGAGTGGCAATAGGCAACTTATATAACTTTTTATTTGTGGTTCTACAATAGGACCATGCTAAAAGTAATGGAGGGAAATGTCAATCCTTTTCTAGAGGGAAAACTGGCAAGTGCACTATTGTGCTCATGTCCTGCTTTGGTCATCTGGTTGGTCACTGTGGAAACAGAAACCTTTGGTCTGATCCAGCCTGGTTCTCTTATGTTCTTAAATGTTAGAAAAACAGGGCCTTTTCAGTGCTGGCACTGCAGCTGTGGCATTTTCTCCCTTGGTTTTGCCAAACCCCACTTTTCCAGCTTTTAGAGGGTCACTGAAACCCTTTTTACACTGTATTGCTATCTCCCTGCATTTGAAAATAGTTACTTTGTTCTGGATATTTTGTTTTCATTTGTTATTTTTGTAAGTCATTTAGGGATATATATTTTTAAGCAGGATATAAACAATTAAAATAAATTCAACCACAGTTTCTTTTGCACTCTGTTGCAGATGTGCTCAACATATAGGAAAATTTTATTACAGATACATCACGAAGGTGTTCCCTAGATATCAAGCAGGCATTGCTAGGTTTATATATAAATCAGCTTATCTTGCCTCTCATTTGCTCAGTATAATAATAATAATAATAATAATAATAATAATAAACAACTCTGGGCAGCTTTTAGCAGAATATAAAAACATAATAGCTGCAACAAAGTACAGAAGGAGCTGAATTTGGAAAGTTTTCAGTGAGCCATTGTGACTTTAACAAATAATGGTGTGTCCTACAAAGGACAAACAAATCCAAATGATAAGAGTGTACTATAACATTGTTGGAAAATTGCTGTTTTGGATCTCATGCCATCGAAACTGTTTCACTTACGAAAACAGTGCTTTGTACTATGTTTGGTATTTTATCAGTGCCATGCTTGCAATCAGCTTTGTTTACAGTTCACGTCAAAAGGATATTTTTATGTTACATGTGTACGTATATGGAGAAAAATGCAGTAACTTGATTTTTGCAAGGTTAAAGGCTGCCAATTAAATGGCTTTTTCCCAGGCCTCTGGTAGTCTGGATTAAAAAGTTCCCATTGAATATGTCATGAGTTCTGCAAGAGGGATGAAATAACTCATCTGAGGCAGCTATCAGTATGAACAGTCATGGGCTAGTTATTTCAGCAGCAGTGGAAAACAGAGTCATGCTTCCCTGTTCTGTTGACATTTGGCAGAAAACAGTCCTGGATTTTGTAAGATTCTGGACTCAAGAGTCTATAAAATTGCTGTCACTGCAACTGGGATTCCAAGGCAATGATAAAAAAAGGAAATCGTTCAGCCAAAATCTAAGACGGTATCCTGACAAAACCCTTCTTCTATACTTTTTTTGTTAAGTGACTAGACTTCTCACTTCCATAAATGGCCAATGCTAAAATGCTATATATTATAGTGTTCTAGTTCTCAGGTCTAGTTCTGGGTTTGAAAGGGCCCTGGGCAAAAAGCCTTTGGTGGGGTCCTTTCCCTGTCGGTGGGTCATAGCGGGTGGTACTGTGGTCGAAACCACTGAGCCTCTTGGGCTTGCCGATCAGAAGGTTGGCGGTTCGAATCCCCACAACAAGGTGGGCTCCTGTTGCTCTGTCCCAGCTCCTGCCAACCTAGCAGTTTGAAAGCATGCCTGTGCAAGTAGATAAATAGGTACCGCTGCAGCGGGAAGGTAAACAGCATTTCCGTGTGCTCTGGTTTCCGTCACAGTGTTCCGTTGCGCCAGAAGTGGTTTAATCATGCTGGCCACATGACCTGGAAACCTGTCTCTGGATAAACGCCGGTCTGAAAGCGAGATGAATGCCGCAACCCCATAGTCGCCTTTGACTGGATATAACCATCCAGGGGTCCTTTAGCTTTTTACCTTTACTGCCTGTCCAAATAGTGACAGGCAGCTGGGTCTAGCAACCATTTTAATTTCTCCCTGTGGCCCTATCTGGTTATCTTTGGCAGGATAGATGATATGTAGACGGTACTTGGTTTAATCCCTTCCATCTCTAGTTAGCAGGTGGTGGGGACAGACCTCTGTTTTAGACCCAGAAGAGATGCCGCCAGTCAGAATAGCTACATGGACAAATATTACAAGACAATTTCCTGTGTTCCAGATTAACATAATATAATAGAAACCCTATAATATAAAGCTAATTGTTCATGTATCCATGCTGATTTATTTTAAAATGCCTATTTTAATTACAAGCCACTTTTTCTCCACAGAGTTCAGAGTAATGTACAAGTTTCAATCTCTCTCCTGTTGCCGCCATGTTACCCTCACCTAGGAGGAAAGTTAAGACTAACAGAAAATTACAGATCCAAAATCACACAGAAAGCTTCTGCGCTTAAGTGTGTGAATCTGAACCCAGCCCCCGTCCCAGGTCCTAGTTTAACACACTGAGCCACTACTCCATGTGAGCTTTATTTTTATAGCCTGTTTCCACCCCCCCAACATATCTGTCCAAAGCAGCTTACGAAAACAAGCAAAAGGACTAATTATAAATCTAAAATAACCAATCAAACCATAAGCGAAGCAGCATCAGTGCCAACATAACTTTAAAAGGCAGTCATTAGCATTAGTCAAGTAAAGCACCTGGTAGTTAAATGCCTGGACAAAGCACATTGTACACACCTGGAACCACACAACTGGTTAGCTCCAGTGAGAGTGTTGCAAAATAGGGTACCACCTTACAAAAAGTCCTGTCTCATTTTAGCAGGGATGGGAAACCTGTGGTCCTCCATATGTTGTTAGACTTCAATGCCCATCAGACCCAACTAGCATGAAATGGTATGGGATTATGGGAGTTGCAGTCAAGCAACATCTGGAAGGCCACATGTTCCTTATCTCTGCTCTTTCAGGTCAAACAAGGAAAACTATGGGTACCTAGTAGTCTGCTTGTAAACTAATCCCCCAAGAATTTGTCTAATCCTCTCTTACAACCATCTCTAGCTTAGAGGCGACTTGGATGAATGAGTTGAGGGGATGCTCATCAAAACTACAGATGACATCAAATTGGGAAGGGTAGCTAATGCCTACAGAAGATCAAATCAGGATTCAAGATGGCCTTAACAAATTGGAGAACTGGGCCAAGACTACCAAGATGAATTTCAGTAGGGACAAATGTAAGGTTCTGCACTTAGACAGGAAGAACCAGCTGCTCAAAATAAGATGGGGGACATCTGGCTTGCCAGTAGTACATATGAAAAGGATCTAGGGGGTCTGAGTAGATCACAAGCTGAACATGGGTCAACAGTGTGATGCAGCAGCAAAAAGAGCTAATGCTATTCTAGGCTGCATCAACAGAAGCATAATGTTTCTAGACCAAGGGAAGTAATAGGACTGCTCTATTCTGCCTTGGTCAGACCACACCTGGAGTACTGTGTCCAGTTCTGGGCGCCACAGTTTAAGAAGGTTATTGACAAGCAAGAACATTCGCAGAGGATGGCAACCAAGATGATCAAGGGTCTGGAAATCAAGCCTTATGAGGAATGGTTGAGGGGGTTGGGAATGTTTAGCCTAGAAAAGAGGAGACTGAGAGGAGATATGATAACCATGTTCAAGTATCTAAAGGATTGTTGCATGGAAGATAGAGCAAGTTTGTTTTCTCCTCTTCCGGAGAAAACCAATGGCTTCAAGTTACAAGAAAGGCAATTCTGACTAAACATCAGGAAGAACTTTCTGAATGTAAGAGCTGTTCAACAGTGGAACAGACTCCCTTGCAAGGTGGCGAACTCTCCTTCATGGGTGAAGGTTTTAAAGCAGAGATTGGATAGCATCTGTCATAGATGCTTTAGTTGAGATTCCTGCATTGCAGTGGGTTAGACTAGATGACCCCTGGGGTCCCTTCCAACTCCACAATTCTATGATTCTATGGACTAGTGGCAATGAATTTCCCAAGTTAAAAATGAATGGCCCTTTAAAATCACTGCCCGGTTGCTGCTGCTATTTCTCTTACTAGGCGCTATACGTTTCAGTTGTGTGTTTGTAGATAGTTTTATCTGCATTTTCCTGTTAAATGCTTTATTCTAATTTTGTATATCCCCATACAAAGAACTGAAAGCAGGTTCTAGACTGTGGTTAACGGTGTGTGCGCAGAGTCCAAAAAGGAAGGCTGAAGATTGGTGGTCTATAATGTGTCCACAATCCAAGTGCACATGTTTCTCTGCGTTTGGCTAGGATTTGACGTTAGGGGGCACCGCAGCATTCGCTTTCAGCTTTGGTAGCGAAAGCTAGATGAAGGAGAAAGCAGATCTCCTAGGCAAGCTGTTAAGCATGGATTCTCATTTAATGATTTGCCTCTATGGGGAAATAGCTATGAGAAACCAATGCTGGAATGTAAAATCCATTAGGTGATATGAGGTGCTGGCAAGACCCACCTGTTCTTGTCTGCTCCTGTTCATAGGCCTTTCCTGTAAATCTGGCATTCCAGTGCAACCTTTTCACATGTGTTTCTCTTTAGAGGGGGGTTGAAATTTCACTGCACAGTCCTGCTGATATTTTCCATAGCACATCAGGGGAAGAGCAATAGCTCAGTGACAGAGCAAATGATTTGTGTGCAAAAAGTCCCATGCTCAGCCCCAAAGGATCTTGGTTATAGCAAGGTTAGGGAAAACTCTCCCCAGGTGCCTGGAACAGGAATAGTTGGCAGGGTGCACTCCAGATGTTTTGAACTACAATTCCCATCAGCCTCAGCCAGGATGAGAAATGGTTGAGGATGATGGGACTTTGCAGCCCATCTGGAGGGCATCTGTGGAATAAGCAGTGTAATGGAGGAGGGCTATGGAAAAGGACTTGTAGAATAATCCTGCCTCTGACATTTCTGGAACTAGAGCCCTGTTGAAGGAGATACTCAGCCCAGACCAGTAACAGCTTGTAGGGGCCAGGTATGTCAAACTTGCCTGCTTTCAGCTTTGAATTCAGTCAGTTCTGTGCCACTGTCTTGCATAAAATTCCTCAGAAGTTACTAGTCCATTAAGATAATCTACTTCATATAAGGGCCAAGGCGGACATGATGTTATAACTGTGCAGCACTGAGACTGCAGGAGGAGGGAGAGTTTAACATACACACACACACCACTGTTTTCTTCTGGGTAAAAGTAGCTGGGGCAAGTTATTTAGTATGTACCACAATGGGGAGTGGGAGGGTGGTCCCTCTGTCCCTCCCATATGGTCCCAATACAGCTTAGCCGCCTGCCCCCTATATGGCTACTATTACATTTTTTATGTTAATTGCATCTTATTGATATCCGTTTATTGTGAGGACCATGCCTGTACACAAACATTAACACAACAATAGTTAAAAGATATTAAAATTCATTACATACTACGCCAACAAAACCTTCATCCCACAAAATAGAAAGAGAGGGAAAACGAGCAACGAGTTAAACAGACGATGAAGGGGTCTTTACATTGTCATCCATAAATCTTTCCCTGGCTTTCACGGCCTTTATCACAAAAACCGCTACCACATGGGTAATACGTGGGTTTGCATCAACTAACAAAAATTTTACTCTATCTTCAGGATTAGTTATAGAGTTGGGTATAATTTGCAGCAATGCGTCTCTAAAGCTCGAGTAGATGGGGCAATAGAGGAGGTAATGTGTAAGATCCTCTTTAATTTTCATAAGGCAAGGGCATAAACGATGTTCTACTGGGGTTTTTGTGAATCTACCGGTCAAATATGCAGTTGGCAGTGTTTGAAACCGTGCCATAGTGAAGGCTCTCCGAAGGGTGGGGTCAGTGATCTCCACCAAGTAGTTGGCACAGATTTTGACTGCTTTTACTCGGGGAAACCAGTAGGAAAACCCAGAGTTTTTTATCTTTGTGGAGTCCAAAAAAGGCGTCTTTTTCAAAGATCCATTCCCGAACTTTATCAGGGCTCCACAATTTAAGGGTATTAAACTCGGGTAGATTGTATCTGGATAGGATATCTAGTAGGTTTTTATGCCAAGTAGTATTATTTTGTAATAATACAAAGGCTTGTTTAGCCAATAAGGTGTTCGGGGCATCTGTGAGGTTGGTGAAAAAACGCAGGAATCTTAAGTGGGCCCTGGCAGACACAGAAGGTAATCCTACTTCCACTCTTAGGAGAGTTGCCGGAGTACTCTGAGGGAGGCCTAGAATTCTTCTGAGGTAAAAATTTTGGAAGATTTCAAGCCGTTCTAACAGCTTCTGATTCCATCCCCAGAGTTCTACTCCATATAGCATCTGGGGAATCACTTTTCCAACAAAAGCTTTTAATGCCGGGATCACCAGTTGCCCTCCCCTCGAATAAAAAAAGCTGAGCAGGGCACCGATTGTCCTACGTGTTAGGAGGGCTACGGTCTTGAAGTGGGCAAGCCAGCTAGATGTAGCTTGGAAAGTGATACCAAGATATTTAAAAAAAAGACACTGTTCAATTTTGTGTTCATCTAAAGACCATCTAAATGTGTGGCAAGCTCTAGTAAATACCACAATTTTTGTTTTGTCATAATTTATCTTTAGAGAGTTTTGGGAACAATAAGCTGCGAGCCCCTCCAGCATGCTATGTAGGCCCCTTCGAGTAAGTGCCATGACAGCCATGTCATCAGCATATAGTAATATATTCAGGTGTTTGCCTTCCAGGGCAGGAGCTGATGACTTATACTTTGCCATATGTTGAACAATGTCATTTATATAGAAATTAAAGAGGAACGGCGCTAACAAACAGCCCTGTTTAACCCCTTTCCCCAGTGGCAGTGGATCAGTATAGTTGCCTGACATCCCAGTTCTGATTTTAACTGTGGTGTCTGAATGTAACTCTCTAAGTATTTTGAGAAGTCGTCTATCAATATCTGTTTCATATAATTTTTGCCATAATTTGTCCCTACAGATTGAATCAAAAGCGGATGTGAGATCTACGAAAGCCACAAAAAGTTTGCTCTTATGTACCTTTGTATACTTATCTATCATTGTCTGTAGTACCAAACAATGGCCTGTTGTACTATGGCCCTTTCTAAACCCTGCCTGTTCCGGATTAAGCAGGTTAGAGTGGTCAGCCCAGTCAACCAGTTTATTTAGCAGGTAGCGAGTGTAAAGTTTATACACAATGTCCAGGAGACTTATGGGGCGATAGTTTGAGGGGTCTTGGGGGTCCCCTTCTTATAGATGGGGGCTACCAGGCTCAGTTTCCAGTTTTCTGGGATTTTGCATATATCATTTATTACCGTAAAAAGTTGGGCCAAAATAGCAGCCCACCACTGGGCATTTAGTTTAAATACCTCAGGAGGAATCATATCCTCACCGGGAGCTTTGCCATTCTTGAGTGTTTTAATTAGCTGTAAACATTCTGATTCGGTAACAGGATCCCAGCCCATTAATAGATCGTTTTTAAGAGGAGGAAACTGGCTCGGTTTAGCAATATTTGGAGCTGTATATAGCCGGGAAAAGTGTTGGTACCATAAGTTAGATGAGATACTGTTGGTTACAATTTTCCCTTTGGGTGAAACTCCCTGGGCAATTATTTCCCAGAACTTTTTGTCATCCCGCAATTTGGTCGCTTTGTCAAGTGTGTTAATTGCATCTATACAATTAACATCACATCTAGTTCAGCCCTTAGTCATTTGTTTTATGGTACCTGTATTGGCCCACAGACTGAGCCAATGGCACCACACATCCATCTCTCTTAGGATCAGAGAACTGTCTGGGTGTTAAACGAGTGCGTGCTTTTAATGTATTAAATTGCCGGCAAACTTCAATAGGTAAAAGAACTGGACACCTGCATTTTCAAATCCAGGCAAACCTGTCCCAGCACATTGGATTTGCCATGAACCTGCATGTAAAGCCTGAACTGCGTTGTGTCCCAGAGTCTTTTTTCTTTGATTTTTAGGTTTGTTCTTGTATTATTTCAAACCTTGCCTGACGCCCCTTAAGGATCAGGGGTACACAACCTGAAGCTCTTCTCAATAACATTAAATCCCCCTTTCTTCCAAGGTGGCACACATAGTTTTCCATTTCTCCATCTTATCCTTGTGAGGTAGGTAAGGATGAGAGACAGTGACTGGCCCAAGGTTTCACAGTAAATTTCATAACAAATTTAATCCTGAACACCCAAGTCCTTGACCAGTTAATATCCCTTCACCTTATTCTAAATTTTGGAAAAAAAGATTAAGAAATGAATAAACTGGGTAAGGTCTCAAAATTTCCCATTGGTCTCAAAATTTATGGGATCCCTTGTTAGGGTCTTTAAAACTAACAGATTCAGGTTGAAATCCTGTACATACTTATCAGTGAGGCTTTGTACAGAGCCTATGATGATTCCCAGCTTACTGTTGCTTTCTTTCTGTCTACCACTGAGCAACAACCCCTTCCCTATGATTTTGATGGGGGATTTGTTGGAAGAGATAGAGATCAGTAGGTGTGCTGAGAAAGAGTTCCTGACATAGTGGCCAGCAAATGGGTGGGGTGGGGGTGGGGAGGCAGAGTCATTTAAGGAAGCCCGGGATAGTGAATCTGGAAGGCAGGAATGGCTCAAGACATTTCGGAACCTGAGGCGAACCACAAAAGGATGCCTTCCTCCCCACCAGGAAAGCAGGGGTGAGTGAAGATCAACACCACAAACAGGGCAGGAACATGGGCACAGCCAGGATTTTTGTTGGGGGGGACAAGACTTTTGTTAGGGGAGGAAGAACCAACCTGATTGGTCAGTTAGTTAAGTATTTCTATTTCTACTTGATGGGGGGCAGCTGCCCCCCCAGCTATGCCCATGGACAGGAATAAAGATATACATCGGGATCTGCTGCCTTGGAAGATCCTGCCTGTTATCTGAGGCAGTTACCTCACCTTGCTTCATGGGTGGGAGGGCTAGAAATCCTAGATACAGTTAGAGCAGGATATGAGTGAAGAATAATCACAGCCATCATATCAAACTCAGGCTTAAAAGCTGACTCAAAGGGCAACATTCTGATAGCAGAGATAAAAATCTGTCACCAAGGCAGCTAATGGCAAACAACAGTCGAAGGCTAAAACCCCACTGATTTCAATGGAATTCATTCCCCACATTAAGCAGCCCTAACCAGATCTGCTGGAATAATGCTGGAACATTATTTTTTGCTTAAGGCAGTGATCTTATACACTCTTACTTGGCAGTAAGTCTCACTGAGCTCAATTGGCCTTGCTTCACAAGGCAGCCTAAGAGGCTAGCCTGACCCTAGCTCCGTGTGCATGGCAGAATTGGCTAATGCAATACTTGAGTATGTAGCAGGAGGACAAGTGATTAATAATAGTAATGGAGCAAGTGGCAATTTTTGGCACGAGGCAACTGGAAGATTGTCCCTGCTTCTCTCCCACTGCAACCAATAGTGGCATAAACTATCGCAGCAAAACCTACAGTCCTGTGGCAACTTAAAAACTAACAAGCTGATTGCAGTGGAAGCTTTTGTGGGTCAGGGAACTCACATTTTCAGGTACAGGCTCTAGCCCATGGAAGGTTTTGCCACAATAAGTAAGTTTCAAGGTGTCACAGGACTCCTTCTCCGTTTGCTTCCCTTCCTTAGCCCTTAAGCAGGAGGTTCGCTTGGACACAGCTGTACAAACCAGATCAATGATTTTATGCGGATCTGCTCTTTGGGCAAATAGTGGGGTTGGGGGGGCGGCGGCGATGTCTTAAAGCATCAAGATTTGAGGTCCAGACCCAGTCTGCAGAGTGAAAGCTCATGGAAATTTCTTTCCAATCAGGCTGGATTTAGCTAGAAGTCGAGTCAGCTCAACAACTCTATTTCTGCCTTGATTTGGAAAGGCAAAACTGCAAGCCGCAGCTCCTAGATCTCATACAGAGTAGCTTGGACTGAATCAGACGATCGCCCATCAAACACGACATTTAGTCGAAGCAAGTTCTCCGTCTACATATGGCACCGTTACCCCACGCTACCAATCGCTTTCTCTCTTCTTCCAAGTAGCATTTTGTCACCTAATCTTTGCTGAGTAGCCGTTTCCTCGCGCGCGCGCTAGTAGCCCTTACGCACAAACCCCCTTTCATTTATAAAAGTGGTGATTTCACGGTAGTGGCATCTCTCGCAGCACGAAGGGAAATTGGCAAGCCGCGTAGCCCCGTCGAAGTGGCCCGTGGCGTGGATCGCCACTGCCAACAGACTTCACTCCTGAGCTCCAAGTATCCCAAGTTGGACCAGGCAGCTGAAGCGGCTTTTGCTAAATATGTCCCTCCCGGAGCCCTCCTCTTTCGCCCCGATCCCCCCGGCACACGCGTGTACAGGCACATTCGCACGACTTACGGCAGACGCGGATAGAAGACCACGTTTACTCCTGAGTTTCGCAGTCGGTCCGGCAACGCCAAGCCCCGCGAGGGGCTGCTGCTTCTTCAGGGAAAGAGGATCAGACGTTGCGATTAAGTGCGAGCTAGGAGCGCGAAAGGGCCCCGTCCTTCCTTTCTCCTCCTCCGCCGTTGCTGCTCCTCCTCCACGTGGCGGGCTCCTCCGAACGCACGCGGCGGTTCTCACTCCGGTCCGGCCGGGTCAAAAGGTACGCCCCCCTCGGGTCTTTGCTGACGCCTGAAGTGCACAGTTCTCACTCCGGTCCGGAAATGGAAGCGTCACCGCCTCGGTCCCGCGCAGGACTGGGGGAGCCCTTTCAAAAACTCTTTTAAGGCGCCTCTGCCCAGGCAGCTGCGAATTCCCCGACGGCGGAAGGAAAACGTTGAGCAGCAGCTCTCCGGAGAGGGCTCGGCTGCCTGAACTGAGGGAAGTTTGTTTCATTCAGGTGGCGGCGGCAGTGGGTGTGCCGATGGAGGGATCGGCTGTCCGATCCTCTGAGACCTCCTAGATTACATATGGAACTCCCCCCATCCCCGAGTAATTCGCTGAGCAAGGGAGGGAGGGAAGAAGAGGCGGAAGGGCGAGACCCGTTCAAGCTGGTTTCTTCCATGCAACCCCCCCCTCCCCGCATGTTTACTGAATCCAGCCCGTTAAAAATCCAGCAATCGTTGCAATGCATGTTTAAAGGGAAATAAAAAATGCCCTTCGTCTATAATTTATCACTTGTTGTTGTTGTTTGTTGATTAAAAAACCCACCTATCTTAGAATAAATGGGATGCGTTGACTGTTTTTCAAATGAAATTTCTGCTTAAACCCACCTATGAATTTCCTTTGCAAAGCGGTGGAGGGGAGTTCCTTTGTATGTGTGCTTCCCATTCTTGTATCTGGGAAATTTGGGGGGAAATTATAATGGAGTAAAAAGGAAAAGGTGAAGGACAAGAAAGGGAGTCTTAATATGACAGTATAACTTGTTGATTTCCTTTAGAAGCACCCAACATAAGGATGCATTATTCGTTTTATTATGCCATATTCAAGGACGACTAGAAGGATTTGTGCAGTAGTTGTGGAGACCATCACAAGGGAGGACTGTAGAAATAACATATGGGTTTTGGATAAGCACATTCCTCCTGAGCAAAAGATTGTTGGCTGTTGTGCCATACTTGCTATCAGGGGAATTGCTTCTTTGGAAGTGGAGAATATGAAAGATGATGCATTTAAATTGCCCCTCATTTCCTCACCCTTCTGAATGAGGATGAGCAAGAAAAAAACTGGGAAAGGCCCAGAGCTCAGTGATCAAGCAAACATGCAGAAGGGCCGAAATTCAGGCTACAATACCATACCGGAAGTAGTAAGTACCACAGAACTCAACTGGAGCTTATTTCTGAATAGATATGTTATACAACTGCATTGCTCGTCATTTGCATCTTCGCTTAGAAGGATCTCAGCTGTAGCAATGGAAAGGTGACTTCCCCTATGAGTCCCCACAGACCTTCTGCCAGTCAGATTTAGACAATTCTAAGCCAGATGGACCAGTAGCTGAACTCCTTATTCTTCAGTATGTTTAAAACTGAACACAAATGGAAGGCTACTTCTTCTTCTGGCAGGGTAAGCAAAAATACAATGGGCGATGCTGTCTCCATCATTTGCATCTTTATGCTAGAAAAAGTTCTGTCTTTTGCTAGTTTCCCCAATCACTTCCACATCATGGTTTTCCCCAAAGAATCCCGGGAACCCTGCACAGAGCTACAGTTCCCAGCACCCTTAATAAACTGCAATTCCCAGCATAGTTTAAGAGAAGCCAAGTGTTTTAGATGTACTTTGAACATGTATTAGTTGTTCCCAGTGCTTTTTTTCTGGGGGGGACGCAGGGGTACGCATACCCATAAACATTTTGTGAATCTAACGGGAGAAGAAACTAATTTTTTTTTTAAAAAAATAGTTTCTTCTCTAGCACGGTGAATTGGAGTCTCAGGCGGAAGCAAGCGTTTAATGTGTGAAGTAGGAGTTGGAATCTAGCACAGTGATTGTTACCACCTCTGATGGCAGCTTCATTTCGTTTTCAGGTGTTTCCTGAGTCTCAGACAGAAGTGAGCCTTTAATGTGTGAAGCAGTGTGGAATGTGGATGTGTGGTGTTTTACTGATGAAAGTTTGACCTCATTGAGGGGCAGCACAGTTCAATACGAGTAGGAAAATCACTAACTATTTTTCATCATCACAGCCAGCAAAGAAGTATAAAGTTAAGGATGACTCTGTACTTTTGTGCATTTCCTGTATTTATTTCCCCCAATTTGAATTATAAAATGGTGATTTTCTTGAGTCAAAATGAGAGTACCCCTAAACATTTTTTAAAGAGAAAAATAGCACTGGTTGTTCCTATCTACTACCTGGGGCAATTTATCAGACCAGTGGAATAGGTTAGACATTAGAGAGCAAAGGATCCACACAATGTGCAGTTGGCCCAGCCTGGCATGTGGAACCCCACTAAATCCTACTAGACAATGCAAGATCAATGCAGTATCATGTTACAGACGCCTCAAGTCTGACCCAGTAATTTAGTAATTCTGCTACAACATTCCTTCCCACCAAAAAGAATCAGAAATGGGGAGCATAAGTGAATTTTAATTTCCTCCTTTGTTTATGCCTGGCCGTGAAAACGTGTGTTCCGCAAGGCAGAGGAGACCAAATGTTGCTTACCTTATGAATGTGCCATCAAGCACATTCCAAAACACAGGTTTTAAGCCAAAAGATTAAATTACTGATAGAATGCAGCGAATGCGGAAGGAGATGTTAACCTCGCCGGTTTTAATTTCCTTGCTCCTGAGGGCGGCCATAAAAGAAAGATTGTTTAGATGAAAGGAAGACGCACAGCAGGAAATTCATAGGAAGAGTTGAAGTTATGAATGTGAGAAGCCGACACCGTCTTTCGAAAAGCCGATGAGTCATAGCATACAAGGATTCCAGAAGACGAGACAAATACCTTAGAGGGTCCCCGCCACCCCACAAACGGCAGATTGTTTTTTAGTGACAGATTTGTTATTAAAAAGCACCTGGGAAAGAAGAAGAGCAACTTTCCTTATGAAAGCAGGAAGATGTTGCTTAACACTCCTGTTTGATGATCTCCTGAGGGAAATTCTAAGGCATGGGTAGGCAAACTAAGGCCCGGGTGCCGGATCCGGCCCAATCACCTTCTAAATCTGGCCCGTGGACGTCTGGGAATCAGTGTGTTTTTACATGAGTAGAACGTGTCCTTTTATTTAAAATGCATCTCTGGGTTATTTGTGGGGCATAGGAATTTGTTGACTTTTCCCCAAAAAATATAGTCCGGCTTCCCCACAAGGTCTGAGGGACGGTCGACCAGCCCCCTGCTGAAAAAGTTTGCTGACCCCCGTTCTAAGGGAAGAGCCCTATTGGACCAAGGATCCACCTCGTCCAACAAGAGGAGAGGAACAGACCTGTTTGGCCCCTTAGATACCATTGGATTCCACTTCTCATCAGTCCCGGAGCACAAGACCCACTAATTTTTTTGTATATTGCTCTGGTTTGTGGCTTTCAGGGTTCTAGTAAAAAACCGAAATCAATATTGCAAGCCTGAACATCTGCACCTAAGAAACACAAAGCTCTCACAGAATAATTCCAGCATAATACGTACCCCGCCCATCAGTGCAGGCAAATGTGTTGATCCATACAGACATGCACTCCCTGCAAAAAAAGAAAAAGAGTGGCAGTAAAATGAAATCTGGTTTATTAGGATCACGTGACAGGATTTTTATAGAACAAACTCAACTTGAATAACATATTGAGCTTTAGCAAAAGATCTCCAGCCAGCGGAAATGCAACCTTTAGCTTTTAAATAGCAGTGCAAACCATCTTGCAAAGAAGTGTTATCCTTTAAACCAGGCACTGGCAAACTCGCCCCTCCAGCTGTTTTGGGACTACAACTCCCATCATCCCTAGCTAACAGGACCAGTGGTCAGGGATGATGGGAGTTGTCCCAAAACATCTGGAAGATGTGTGAAATAGGAGGAACCAGTCAAAGCATGGGGGAAAGGGAGGACCCAGTTTCCATTTGACTCTTTCCCCCCATTCTCTTGACTTCCTGTATGTCAAGGGTAGGGAACCTCACACCCAGACGCCATATGTGTCACTCTAGGCCTCTCTATCAGGCCCTTTGGGACTTTTCAGTGGAGCATGAGACTCTTAATCTCAGGGTTGTGGGTTCAAGCCCCACATTGTGCAGAAGATTCCTGCATTGCAGGAGGTTGGACTAGATGACCCTTGAGGTGTTTTTGTCTGGCTGGAGTAAGTCCTGGGAATCTGATAATGCCTCTTCCTTGCCCCAATGAAAGATAGAGAGGAATATGTGACTGTGTGCAGAAACTTGCCTGCTGTCTAAAATATATATTTATTGTTCTGCGTGCCTTTGTCCACATGGCTCCTAGAAGGTTGCTGTGATGAAAATGTGGCCTTCAAGCTGAAATAGAATCCCTCACCGCTTTTCTATGCTAATCTGCCAAGAACCTTGGTAACCTCACTATCACCTGCAAGATCATCATTCCTGCTCTAAAAACAAAAATCCTGGAGCTGTGCTTCCTTTCCACCCGCTACACCCTGCTGGCAAATGCTACTGTTTGCATGGGCCTAGTGCTCAGAAATTATCAGTCTTTTTTATAGGCTTAGCATATTTTTGCTGGGCTTTTGTTCAAAATGCCAGCTCTGTTGCTGCGCCTTTCTAAAGATAGATCAGATGAAATATGCTGGATGGATTTCTGACAGAAATCTTTTGATGGCTTGAAGCTGGCCTGAACAACACTCCCAACTGGAGTTGACCTGGGATTTTGACAAGGCCGTTGTGGTTTGCATTGATGTTTCAGATCCTGGGATAGGTGCAGGTCCTAAAATAGCAGGATGGGAGTGGGTGGGGGGAACCATATACTTGGGTCAGAGGTCATCTAAAGACATGTAACGGGTGGAAACAAAACTTAACAAGGCTAGAGCTTAGTCTGAAGATGAAGGTGTGTAAGAAAAGTGTCTTTGGTAATTATCATAAAGCGCTAATTGTCCCGTGCTGTGCTAAGTAGAAAATGGGAATAACCCTCAGGCTGGGCCCACACCACTTCATGCTGCTTGGAGGCTTGCTCCCATATGTTTTCCAAAGGACACAGCTCTGGCACTGCAAGTCAAATGTCCTGTGTTCACACTTTGCTCTGCAGATGGTACTTCAAGCAAGGGTAACTCATCACCTCATGACTGGCTGCTTGGAGTTGCAGGTAAGCCCATCCTGAGTAGCTTCCTGTTGCTCTCCCCCTTGTCCTCTCACTCCTCTTTGGGTCTCCTACCCACACTCCCTTTTATCTCCTACCACCGAAGCAGCTGGGGAGAGCTGCGTAGCCTTCCTGCAGGCCCCTGGGGTCCCTCATGCTACCCTGTATAAGGTAACAAGAAGATGCTATTCCACATCTATCAGGCTGGTACAAAATGTGCCAAGTTCATTAGGGTGAATGGGGCGCTGCCCCATTGAAATATACTTGGAGTCGAGTGTGGATTTCATGCTCTTTATTCAGCTCATAGTAGTGAGGAATGAAAGTTTCCCCAAAATATCTGCCTTATATACATTATTTACACAATGGGCTGCACGTGATTGGCTAATTCTGGGATTCTCCTGTAGGCCAATCAGGTTGCGGATTCACTTCCACCTGGAGCTGGATTGGGTGGCTCCTGCATACTGCTGCATTGTTCTAGGACCAATCAGACTGCTGCATTCTGGATCCTATTGTTCTAGGACCAATCAGACTGCTGCCTTTTGGATCCTATTCAACTCAGTACGTAACACCCATCAACCTCAGTCAGACTTCATCTGCCTGCTTGCAACCTATCCCAGAGTTGGTTCTGGCTGCTCTGCCTCCTCCATCTCATTGTTGCCTATGTAGAACCTTCATCACACCTGAGGGAACACAGCTTAGGGAGCACAGTACAGACCGCATTTCCTCCAATACCTCGCTCTGTGCTGCACCTGCTCATTGATTGCCCTTCCAAATAAATGCTGCAAAAGCACAGTGCTGCTGGTGGGTGCCAGCATGCAGCAGGTGAGCAGAGCAAGCACTGGACCATGTGGTCCCATCTGTTCCTCTGCCTACCTACTTGCTTGGTCAGGGGCCTGTTCAAATGGAAATGGTTGTGATGTGTTGGGAGAAGGAGACCAGTTGAGACAACATGCCAACAACATGCAAGC